TTAAAAGAATTGAAACTATTTTGAAGAAATCTACCGCATATGCGTTCCGCTCCAAGTCCGAACGCGTACTGCTAGGCAGGCCCGTGTGTAGGGTCTGCCCCGATATAAGCCCCGATTTCTTTCCACCCTAGATCGCCACTGATATCGTGTCGTATGTAACCCGCTTAAGCCTAATAATTCTATGATTGCATACTTTGTGGAAGAGAAATAGATGCGGCGCGAGCCGAACGCTGATGCCGATCGTTCCTTTCACTCGCTCATGCAGCGCTCTCGCTCCGATCGTAGTGTTTCAATAAGTTATCTTTTTTCGTGCGTGCCGTCGGCGTTTATCGATTTATTAGACGTTGTAACGTCAAAATTCTTCATTATGTTCTACTCTATTCGATTTTAATATCGTTGTATCGATGCGGCGTTAAAATATTGATGACGTAAGAGGCAACGCACAGAAACTGAAATAGGAGATGGGCAGTCGTGAACTCGCCGGCCAAGCGTGGCAACTATGGCAAAATCCTCCCGTGAGGCAATTGACGGGAGAGACCTTGTTCAGCAGCGGACTTTTTATAAGCTGTAATAAATCGTGAATGATGAGAGATGTTGAATAAAAATTAATCCATTCTCTACTTTTCTATTCTAATCTGTTCTATCCTTTCTAATTGCAGGTCCTGAGTTCGTATGCTGCACCACAATGTAAGATATTCTTCTCTTTTTATTCTTTAAAGCTTTTTTTTTTCTTTTTATTTATATTTTTTTAGAAATGAAGTGACACTACAACTAACAATCCACCTGATGGTAGGTGGCTGTTGCATACCAGGGACACCTGCAACCAACTCAAAACAAAGAAACCTACTGATACGTTGTCGCACCTGAGGACTAAAATGGAATGCCTCACAGCCTGTATTTATACTGGCTCTGTATATTCAATCAACCTCTCAAACACCAAGCGGCCAAATTTGACCACTTCGATATTCCGTCAAAATTCAAGCGGTCAAATATGCAGCACCTTAACCCATAAAAACTTATATTTAGAGACTACTTATCTATGAAGAAGTTGGGCATTATAGGCTCAATGAGAAATTTTTTATCCTCTAATGCAATAAAACGTAGTTAGTCTACGGTTTTTTATTTATAATCAACGTTCATTTCGGACGCCTATTTCGTGTGGCATGTTATTGTGTTGATTTTTGGATTTTTCTAGTGTTTTATTAGTGTATGACTATAGTGTTTTATTATAAAATTGTTATAAAAGTTTTTGTGTGAATATATCTAGATATATTTGTAATTTCCACGCTGCCGACATCCGCTTGGTATTTTTTTTTTCGTTATGAAAATACAATAAAATCTTTTTTAAATGAAGTAAAAGCTGAGTTTTGCTTAAACCACAAGATAGAAAAATTTGTGCAGATTTTATATTGCCAAACTTCTTCATAGAAATGTAATCTCTAAATACAAGTTTTAATGGTTTAAAGTGTTGCGGGTAGGTGCGGTCACATGCGACCGCTCGGGATTTGCTAGGCGCATGCGACTGCATGGGAATTTTATGGGGATTGAAGGATTAAGCAACAATTCTTGATGTCTGCATCTTGGTGACAGCAATAAGGGAGAGGGTGGTACAGATACAAACGAATTTGAAGGCAGAAAAGGAGTCAAAGTAAATAATTGTATTAAACTTTAAACTGCCTTCAAATAAGGAAAAGGCTCTCCATTCGGGTGTTAATATATATTTTTATGTATTTTCAGGCAAAACTCTGTGTTATACAGAGTTATTTTTCAATGACTAGCCAAATTTTAAACTTAAATTTTAATTATAAACACTAACTTCTGAGAGATATTTAGGGCAAATAAATGTCCGCCGCGCTGCCCCAATGCGTATTCATAAACTTCACATGTATTCGAAATATTTTATTTTTTAAGACGTGCTGGTTTCCTCACGACGTTTTCCTTGACTGCCGAGTACGTGCTTGATCAGCACTTAAAATTGCAATTAACAATTGCATTGGTGCCGGCAGCGATCAAACCGGAGTTCTTAGCACCTGATCCGCAACGGCTCTTTCTATAGTTTGCGTTAACGCAAAGGTAACTTGGCTAACCCAGCTGGGAGAAAAATACATGCCTGTATGACGATGCTAAGACATTATATATAAAAAAATAAACTACCTGGTTGGTCCAGCGGACGTGCACGTGGCTGCTGCCCATGAGGTACCAGGTTCGAGTCCCGGGTCAGACCCAAAAATCTGTCACTGAGTTTTTATATCAAGAAATACTTAGTAAAAGACCGTAGTCAGAAAATTGTCGGTGTTTGACTCCAATGTCTCGGAAAGCACGTAAAGTAGTTGATCCTGCGCCTGATCCTGCGACACATGAGGGAGGGAGGGAGTGAGGGTATAGAAAGTGGACCTGTAGTTGCGCCAGCTTGCGCATACACTAGGACATTATAATCCTATCCTACTCAGATCCGTCACCGAAATTCGAACTGGAGGACATACATTAACTAATACAACTAAAGCTTATAAATTATGTGGAAATTATTTCATCCTTTTTAGTTTTTTGAACTCCTCTTATTCTTTTTGTTTGTAGCTTAAATATTTTCTAAACTCATTTATTTGTTTACAGATTCGCAAAGCTATTATAGCGAAGAAGAGCGAGCAAGTGAGTTATTTACAATTATAAGTTAACATATAATAGAATGAAATCATTTATTTTCAATAAAGATTACAAAAACACTTAAAGAAATGTAACTTAAGCTTTAGCACTGGTTCGGAAAAAAACTCTGCCCTGGAAAGAACTAGCAAGAAACCCAGCGGGACTTGTACGTGGTAGAGTCAAGCTGCAACTATATTATGGTTGTAGCACGAATGGGTCGGCTCGACCGGGGAAGGACCACGCTCTCACAGAATATCTTTGTAAAACAGCAGCTTGATACTGCTCTGTGTTTCGTATGGTGAGCTTAGAGATCCGGAAACTCTTTTTTACTGGAAACGAGGCATTCCGCCTTAGTCCTCAGGGGTGACAATGCATCTGCATTTTAATTCTTAATCGAGGATAAATGTAGATGTCTATGGGCCACAGCATTCACTTACCGTCAGGTGGACTGTGTGCTCGTTTGTTTGTTTATTTCATAAAAAAAAACTTTTCCAAATATTTAATTAATTCACATTTCCTCTGGTGTCATGGCGTTGGTAGTCTTTTACCATCACGTGAGCTGTAAGCTCATTTGCCCCCTCTCCTATAAAAAAAATACAATTAATATTTTATACAATTATGAATGAAAACATTTCGGAACAGAATGGGAGCGATCCCCCCATTTCCAGCCAGGGGTTATTTTCAATCATGCTATTAGTCACTATGTAATAGTACCTAGTGTTACAACCTATTAAAGTCCACAGCTGTATAGAGGCCTCCCCCATAGACTGCCTCATACATGCCACGCTTGGCAGTTGGCAAACGGGTTGGCAACCGCAGTTTTTATTTTTTATTTTTAGTCGTTATTAGGAAGACGCTGCGATCTCCTGGCTTGAAACCACTGGATGATATGGGGCAGTAGATATTCGTACACCACCACTACATGGTACTCTTATGTTCATGTTGGCCTTTTTTTAACTCTTCCTCTGTTCCGTGCATCACATACAGGTCATTGGTATTGTCTTACTATTGTGTCTAAAAACCGGACAGTGAAAGTGTTGAGTGGTACTGTTTGACTTGATAAAGGACACTGTAGCTACATGTTATACTACAGCTGACTCTCTAATCGGGCTCATTAATAAGTTACATGATCTTTCTTCACCTCGTTACTTATTTTTTTATGAACTGACTTCAACAAAAGGAGGAAGTTCTCAATTCAACTATATTTTTATGTGTGTTACCTCAGAACTTTTTTCTAGGTGAACCGATATTGATGATAATGTTTTTAAAGCTGGTGCTTCTCATGTGATCTCATATAAATTTGATCAATTTCTGACCATTTGTTTGTGAGTCATCCTTAATATTGCGTATTTAATTGACTTCGACTAGATACATTGAGGATGTTCTCATTTTATTTATATTGAAGTCAGTTGTACAAAATTTATAATTTTACCACTTGTTATTTTCAGATAATTTGAAAAAAGCGAACGAGGAATCAAATGCGGGTAAGTACTATGTCGAAATTCGGATGGTCAAGACACGCTGCATCTGTTGCTAAGCCAAGCTACTGATCATTGAGTTCCGGGTTAGAATCAACGTGGTAGAGCCATGCTGCAATTATATCATGGTTGCAGCACGAATGTGTCGGCTCGACCGAGAAAGGACCACGCTCTCACTGAACACCAGCTCAATTCAATGCTGCAGTGTTTCGTATGGTGAGTGTAAAGAACCAGAGACCCTTTTTACTGGAAACGGGACATCCCATCTTAGTCCTCAGGGCTCCTGTATGCTCGTTTTGGCCCTTACTCTATAAAAAATTCAATTAATTAGACGAGATGGGAATGATAGGGTTGCCAACCGTCCTGTTTTCCTAGGACATGTCCTAGTTTTTGTAGTGTATTGCAACTCTATTAAGCCCGTGTCAAATAGACAGCGAACCGATAGCGTTTTCGGTTCAGTTTGGTTCGCAGTTACGTTTTATAAGGCCTTTACTGTGTCCTGTTTTTAAACTGAATGGTCCTGGTTTTACCAACTTCAAACCTAGTTTTTTTTATTTGTGATTGGCAACCCTAGGTTATGATGATTTTTTAAAAACGATTTATCCCTCACTTACTCAATACTCATAAATTACACAAGGACAAACACGCGAACCCGGAACAGTTACTTGTAGTTTACATATGTACTAGTTCCATGCGGGATGCAAACCCGCAACCCTCAGCACTGCAACTCAATGGCACTGCGCCACGAAGCCGGAACTAGATTTTGCTTTGTGTAAATCTATGGAAAAAGCCCTGTACCAATTATGAAGTCGCGATGGGATGTAGTGATAATGGCGATGTTCTAATTCCTGTACCTATTTTCAGTGACGTTCCAATCCAAGAATGGCGACGCATATTACAATTCTCAAAACAAAAGATCGTCGGAGGAAGACAGCAGTGCATCCAAAAGCAAAGTCGCAAGCAGTTATAACAACGTAAGACAAATGTTTACACTAGTGCATAAAGTCATGAAAGCCTGTAATATTAGCGACAAGTATGGATGAATAAATAAGTAAATAATATATACTGTCCGAATAGTCCGCAGGTTCCTTCCTCTTTCCACTTAACCCTCGACCGCTTGTCATCCCACGTCGAAGGCTTCAATCTAGTCAGGAATTATCGATGTAGTTCATTAATTCTATTTCACGTGTATTTACTTTATTTTATTTATTTTAATCATATGTTAAAAATTAATATTATTTATATACTAGTAGCCGCCTAACGGTTGAAATACGAGGTTAGTTCATTAAAGGTTTAGTTTTGCAATACGCAAACTGTATTTCACGTTTAACTGCACATTAATATGATATAAAACACAGTTAACTAATATAAAATAAATGTTTTTAACCTGACATTTGCCCCACACATTAAAAACGAAACATTTAAAATCACACAAAATTCGCAGCTTACTCATTCAATCATCTTAAAATTCATACATTTTAAAATTTTTTAGCTACAATCTCTGCTCTGTGAAACCTTTTGATCGCAGACTAATGAGAGTTTGATATTAGTTCTAGAGACATTGGCAATATGAACATCAGCAATTAATGTTTTTTATGTGTTTGTAACACATATTATAAATAAATTTTAACATTTGCGCTTCTTCCCCATACAAATTTTGCCAAATGTCATTACCCTCTGTGGACGCTATGGACGCAAAAGAAGTACAAATTGTACTCTTTACGTGACGTGACGTATTTTAAAGATATCTAACACGACGAGAACACTATAAAATAACTTATTACTCTATAATTATGTTTTCTAAGTTTTTTTTAAATTATCATTTGAAGTTAATATCGTTGTGTCAATACGGCGTTAGAATATCTAGCACAGTATGACGTAAGAGACTACGCACAGAAACTGAAATAGGAGATGGGCGGTCGTGAATCCGCCTGCCAAGCGTGGCAACTATGGCAAAATCCTCCCGTGAGGCAATCCACGGGAGATAATTTTATTCAGCAGTGAACTTTTTATAAGTTGTAATAAATCGTGAATGATGAGAGATGTTGAATAAAAATTATTCCATTCTCTTCTTTTCTATTCTAATCCGTTCTATCCTTTCTCATTGCAGGTCCTGGGGTCTTATGGTGCACCACAACGTAAGAATTTATTCTTTTTTTTATTCTTTAAAGTTTTTTTTATTGTTATTTTTTTTTAGAAATGAACAAGGAACTAACAATCCACCTGATGGTAAGTAGGTACTACAGTTAATGGACACCTGTAACGAAATCCCAAAGAAAACTACTGATACGTTGTCACCCCTGAGGACTGAGATGGAATACATCACAGCCTGCAATTATACTGGCTCTGTATATATAGTTAAACAACAAATCTTGGAGTGCGCTTCTTGGTGACAGCAATAAGGGAGAGGGTGGTACAGATACAAACGAATTTGAAGGCAGAAAAGGAGTCTAAGTAAATAATCTTATTAAACTTTAAACTGACTCCAAATAAGGAGAAGGCTCTCCATTCGGGTGTTAATATATATTTTTATGTATTTTCAGGCAAAACTTTGTGTCATACGGGGCTATTTTTCCAATACTAGCCAAATTTTAAACTTAAATATAGGTAACTTTAAATATAAACTCTCACTTCTGAGAGATATTTAGTAAATGTCCGACGCGCTGCCCCAATGCGTATTAACGAACTTCACATTTCTTTGAAATATTTTATTCTGTAGACATGCTGATTTCCCCACGATGCTTACCTTGACCGCCGAGCACGTGGTAAATAAGCACTTAAAGTTGCAATTGACAATCTCATTGGTGCCGGCGGGGATCAAACCGGAGTTGCTCGCGTACTGTGAGATTTGTAGCGAATTCTTAGCACCTGATCTGCCACGGCACTTTTTATAGTTTGCGTCAACAAAAAGTAACGTGGCTAACCAAGCTGGGAGCAAAATACATGCCTGTGTAAAGATGCTAAGACATTATATAAAAAAAACTTAACTACCTGGTTGGTCTAGCGGACGTGCACGTGGCTACTGCTCATTAGATACCAGGTTCGAATCCCGGACCAGGCCCAAAAATCTGTCACTGAGTTTTTATATCAAGAAATACTTAGTAAAAGACCGTTGTCAGAAAGTTGTCGGTGTTCGACTCCAATGTCTCGGAAAGCACGTAAAGCAATTGGTCCTACGCCTGATCTCTCCGATCGCGTGGGGTTACCGTTACACCCATGAGAGTGAGGGAAAGTGCACCTGTGGTTGCGTATACACTTGGGTACTATAATCCTATCCTACTCGGATCCGTCACCGAAATTCGGACTAGAGGTCATACATTAACTAATAAAACTAAACCCACAATATCGCAGACTTGGAAATTATGTGGAAATAATTTCATCCTTTTTAGTTTTTCAAACTCGTCTTATTCTTTTTCTTTGAAGCTTAATTATTTTTAAAACTCCACTATTTTTTACAGAATCTCAACGTTACTATAGCGAGGAGGAACAATCAAGTGAGTTACTTACAAGAATAAGTTAACATATAATAGAATCGAATCATTTTTATTCAATAAATATTAAAAGAAAACTTAATGAAAGTAATTTAAGCTTTACCATTGTTTCGGAGAACACCTCTGTCCTGGAAAGAATCAGCAAGAAACCCAAGGGGACTTTTTGCTGCAGTCGTTCATGGGCGTCGGTAGTATTTTACCATCATGTGAGCCGTATACTCGTTTGCCACCTCTCCTATAAAAAATAAAAAAAACACAATCAATATTTTATACAATTATGTATGAAAACATTTCGGAACAGCATGGTAGCGATCCCCCACTTCCAGGGGTTATTTTCAATCATGCTATTAGTCACTATGTAGTAGTACCTAGTGTTATAACCTTTTAAAGTCCACAGCTGTATAGAGGCCTCCCCCATAGACTGCGTCATAGGGGGGATATTGACCACAGCTGCCACGCTTGGCAAGCGGGTTGGCAACCGCAGTTTTTATTTTTATTTTTAGTCGTTATTAGGAAGACGCTGCGGTCTCCTGGCTTGAAACCACGGGATGATATGGGGTAGTGGATATTCTTACACCGCCACTACATGGTACTCTTATGTTCATGTTGGTATTTTTTTAACCATTTCGCTGTTCCGTGCTATAGTCATTGCTATTTTCTTACTATTGTGTCTAAAAACCGGACAGTGTTGATGGTACTTTTTTGACGTGGTAAAGGACGTTGCAGCTACATATATTATAGTTGACACTCTGATCCGGTTCATTAATAAGTTATATGATTCTTTACCTTGTTACTAATTTCATCTATCTACCGACTTCAACAAAAGAAGGAAGTTCTCAATTCAACTTTTTATGTGTGTTACCTCAGAACTTTTTTCTAGGTGAACCGATTTTGATGATGATGTTTTTAAAGCTGGTGCTTCTCATGTGATCTCATATAAATTTGATCAAAATCTGACCATTTGTTTGTGAGTTATCCTTAATATTGCGTATTTAATTGACTTCGACTAGATACATTGAGGATGTTCTCATTTTATTTATATTGAAGTCAGTTGTACAAAATTTATAATTTTACCACTTGTTATTTTCAGATAAGTCCAAAAAAGGGAGCGAGGAATCAAATGCGGGTAAGTACCATGTCAAAATTCGGATGGTAAAGACACGCTGCATCTGTTGCTAAGCCAAGCTACTGATCATTGGGTTCTGGGTTCTAATCAACGTGGTAGAGTCATGCTGCAACTATATCATGGTTGTAGCACGAATGTGTCGGCTCGACCGAGAAAGGATCACGCTCTCACAGAACACAAGCTAATTCAATGCTGCTGAGTTTCGTATGGTCAGTGTAGAGAATCGGGTACCCTTTTCACTGGAAACACATTCCATTCCATTTCAGGCATTCCATCTTAGTCCTCAGGGGTAACATCTTGGTTCAATGCAATCTCTGAGTAATTTCTGTAATTACTCTAAAAATGTAATACTATTTAAAATTGGAATGATAAATATAAAAGAATATTTACATTGCTCATTCAAGTATTGTAATAGCGCCATCTACTTCATTATGTAGGTAAAGTCATTTTATCGAACAAAATTGATTAACTCTCAAAGTGGTACTTAAGGTAGGCGTTAGATGATATAAACAAGAATAATTTAATATAAGTTGATAAGTTGTGAAATCGCCAACTGTAATAAAGGTATTGATTAAGATAATTTTATTCAATATGGTTAATTTTATTTATATAATAAATTTGTTAATTTTTAGGTGTTTATTTTAACTATTAAAATGTATATTAACTATCTTAAAGCACCGCACAAAGATAAGCTTAAAAATAATAATCGAATGACATATTCGAACCCACAACCTTTTGAGTTCGCGGTCCGCACCCAGCCATTAAGCTACTTTTGCTTACTACACTGTATTCTATCTCATTCTAACTCAGACTAAATCCTATAGATATATATGTTTTAATGCCGCTTTTTCGTTACATCCAATTTCAAAGCACAACGATGCTAAAGAAGTTTTCACTTCAAAAAACGGTAATAAAGGAAAACTAAAACTAAAAATCTAAATTGTCATAAAGTCCTGCTGCCCGTGGTATTGTGCAAGAACACTGGCTGCGTTTCCTCGCTGAATGGCTATACTTTGAGCGTTGTTGTTGTTACGTTTGAGCCTTTGAGCGAGAAAAGAAGCAGATCTTCTATCACCAGCAGCGACAATTTTTACTAACCTCCTTAGTCCTTTGTACTTCGATCGATAATTTTGACAGCAAAATGAGCTATATCTATAAGGTATTACTGTGTTACTACGAGTATATTTAAATATTGCAGCTTCAACGTTTCATACTTTGCAATGTTTCGATTCTTAATCGAGGGTAGATGTAGATGTCTACGGTTCACAGCCACCGAAGTCACCAACAGATTGACTGTATCTCGTTTTCCCCTTACTCTATAAAAAAAATCATTATTTAGACGAGATGAGTTATGATGATTTTTTTAAAACGATTTATCCCTCACTTACTCAATACTTATTATACATAGATAAATTACACAAGGACAAACACGCAAACCCGGAACAGTTACTTGTAAGGTACATATGTACTTGTTCCATGCGGAATTCAAACCCGCGACCCTCAGCGCTGCAACTCCAATACCACTGCGCCACGAAGCCGGAACTAGACTGTGCTTTGTGGAAATCTATGGAAGAAGCCCCGTATCAATTATGAAGTCAAGATGGGACGTAGTGGTGATGGTGATGTTTTAATTCCTGTGCCTGTTTTCAGTGACGATCCAAGACAAAAATCACAACCAATATTACAGTTCTCAAAGGAAAAGTAAGTCGGAAGAAGACAGCAGTGCGTACAAACGCAGCGTCGCAAGTGGCTATGAAGTAACGCCGAACAAGCGATACTACGACTATCCTTACAACTACGGCTTCGGCATACCAAACAACTATTACGGTAGACCTTTCTACAATCAGGGATATCCTGGAGGATTCTACAATCAAGGATTCCCCGGAAGAGACTACAATCAGGGACCTAATTGTGAGTATAAAATAATTCAGCAAATATAGCCTAAACATGGACATATGGGACATATACCGTTACGTGACTGTCTGATTCTTCTAACAGTTCCCGAGTCCCAGAATCCCGGGTCGGAACAAAATGAGTTATTGTATTTTTCTGTCAAGAAATTGTCAAAAGCAGCACGGAGTCAGGAAGTTAGCAGTGTTTCACCCCCGTGCCTCGGATAGCACGTAAATCCGTTAATCCTGCGCCTGATCTCTCTCCAGTCGTGTCGAATAACCGTCTCATCGTACTATGAGAGTGTAGTAGATAGTAGATAGTAGTATAGGAAGTGCTCTTGTGCTTGCGCATACACTGGGGCAATACGATTCTGTCCTGCGCAGATCGCTAGTATTCGTTGAGACTGGCCGCTTTGACCGATACATTATGACAAATAATCTGATGTATGAGTGACGTGATGCTGAAAGTGGCACTAACTCAACATAATTCCGTCGCACGGTTGCGGTAGCGTTGGTTAACAGCAACGCCATTGAGGTTGCACTCGCCTGCGATGGTGGTATGTACGCTATAAGAATAACAATAATTGGCTCCAGACCGAATTTTCGGCCACGGCGGCCCGCCTCAACGGACACTAGCCATCGGCGCAGGACAGGATTATAGTGCCCGAGTGTATGCGCAAGCACAGGTGCACTCTCTATTCCCTCACTCTCATAATCTGATGGGAGGGTAAACCGACACGACCGGAGAGAGATCAGGTGCAGGACCAACATCTTTACGTGCTTTCCGAGGCACGGGGGTGAGACACCGCCAACTTCCTGACTCCGGGCAACTACTGAGAATTTCTTGACGGATAAACTCAATAATTAATTTTTTGGCCCGATCCGGGATTCGAACCCAGGATCTCATGATCAGCAGTCACACTACTACAACCACTAGACTAACGAGGCAGTCATTTCTAAATTATTACTTTGCTTATATTTCATAACATTAACATGACATTAACAGTATTTATATTTTGTTTTAGCTCCAAACCGACTTCCCCGCGGACCACGTAAGTATCTAAATTACTAAATTAATATATCCGTTACAATTAAATTTAAAGATTTATAAAATTTCTAGAAGACAATCATTGCAATGATGGTTAGTGAATATGGGTAGATTCTTCTCCATCAGCTCGTAAATTGCTGCACTGCTGCTGTTCTAGTTTAGATATGATTTTCCAAAAATTAATTAACAGGCCTGAAACGATGTGCTCACATCTGATACGGACGCTGCACCAGGCGTAAGCACGTTTCATGCTACTATCCATCGCCGATCTGGGCATTTTACGCGTAAACCTGATTTTATTCACTAGGCGGTTGGACTCGCTTTTCGCTCACGTATCCGTCTGGGCTTGTGCCATTCTCTGATACAACATGTAACAAAAAGCCTGTGGTTACCGTTAAGTGCGTTATCAGAATCAGTATTCAAGCATATAGAAATAACTTCACTTCGGAAAAATCGACCATTAAAGATTTAAATTTAATTAAAAAAAAACTTTATATGCTGATTTTACGTGGTTTTATTACCTCTGTATTGCCTGAGGAATAAGATAATTGTCAAGGACCCCGCTTTACTGATAATCGTGCCAGTAGAGATAATAAAACCACGTACAATTTGCATATAAACTTTTTCTAAATTAAAATTAATTTTTTATAGGTCGAGTTTCCGGAAAAAAATATTTTTATACTTTTTAATACTATTTCTGATAAGGCACTTAAGGGGAACCACAGGGTTATTGTTACATGTTGTATATTGCTGTTGCCAGATAGCAGTCCTAGCGTTCCGGTCTGAAGATTATAGAGAGCCAGTAAAATTTCAGGCTGTGAAACATTCCATATCATCAATGGACTGCAAGTTCCTTTCTCACTTTATATAATATAAAAGGTATACGTGTTTTAAGTTACGCAGAACTAATGTGTATTTCTCTACAGCCTGCATTTATTCGTCCATCTCACTTCAGCGATAGCAACATAGTAAATCTAAAGCCTAATTATTATTAAAATTTTCAGGCGGATTCGAAAATGCTCTACCACTAGTGCCGGTTCCATTTTACCAGCCGATTATTGAGCCAGTGCCCCTTATTCCGGCTGCTCCGACCTACGTCCCAATACCTGCGTACGGATCCCCCCCCAACTAAGCCATATCCACCAGGTAATTTTATTAAAAATCAGAAAATGTATATTTGTGCTTTAAGCTTTCAATCAGGGATGAACAAAACATGGGTGACATCATTCGGGGAATAATCATGCTCTCACAGAATAGTAGCGTAAAACAGCAGCATAATGCTGTCAATTTAAAAAATTACGAAATAAGCGCCTAATAAAACGAATTTAGCAAGATTAATGTCAAAGATATTTTGTTGCTATTATTTTGGCTCAAATATTCTTTCAATATTGCGTTCCCACTCCCAGCCATTAGAACTATCAAAAACCGGAAGTACTTATAACGGGGAAAAGACATTCCATGTTGGTTCATAGGGATGACGCCGTAACTGTCTGTGGGCCAGAGCTAGTACCTACTAGATATTATTTATTCTGTGCTAGAGTGCTCAATAAGCGTCAACTGGACTGTCTGATCTTTTATCACCCCTCCTCACATAAAAACCCGTTCTCGACTGTGAAGGAAATAGTAGAGTTATAAAACCGCATGAAATATAATAAATATATATAAAGTATCTGCGGGTAATAACGCCTAACTAAGGAAAATTCGAAACAAAAATGAGTAATATCCAATTTGGCCTGCAGATTTTAATAATAATCATTGACTTAATATATTTTCTATAAAATATAAATGAAAAATTGTAACATTTGCACATAAATTACATAGTAGTGGAATAAAGGAATTCAAAAGCAAAAGTATCATATCATATAAGTGTAATTAAGTCAACAAGTAAAAGTTGACCAAATTAAAAATGCACTTGGATTAGTAAACATTTCGTTACAACTAAAGTTGCGATGCTGGCAACATATAGATAGATAGTCCAACTATAACCATCTCTGTACGGACTTGGCATGTGAATGATTTGATGTAGATTGTATTACTTTTAAAATCGAAAAGTTTTTTAATACCACTCCCGATAAGACTGATTGAAAATAAGTCCTTCGGATACCATCGTCCTATTTATCCCCATTTAGTCCCATTTTTAGTCGTTATAGCGTTCAAACCGCAAACTCACTTAATACGCTCAATATCAAGGAAAACCACGTATTGTGACGGGCAGCTACGGAACAATACCGCCAGTTTTTTTATTATTGGTGCAGTGCGGTCGTATCTTATGATACAATATGAAACTCTGGTGGTCGGACACGGAGTAGCGCGTCTCTGCAAATTTGTAGAGATATTATCGTGATAGGAATCTGTTGTTATCTCCTTGAGTGAGAGCGGTTATTATAAATACGATTTTTGTTACTTAGGCCTTATTAGCCGACAGGCCTTATTACCAGAAGGTTTCTTAATAGGAAACTTTTAAAGGAACCTTATTTATCGCTACTGGTAGCAAAAAGGCTGGTTCATTTCCCGTCAAAATGCTAAATATAGTCATTCAGAGACAAAAAGTGGCCTTCCTTTTCCATGCCGTGGGAAGTAAATTAGACTACTTTTAGTTTTATTTTATTGTAATAAATGTAATATACTATTACGCAAAGGTCAAGGCAGTCAAGGGCAAAACTACGTGACTGACGCCAAAGCTATCACCGTGGGTATCGCAGAAGCTAGCGGTACCACTGGCAAAACACAACCAGGTAATTATATTTAACATCACATAATTTATATTTGTCTCCATTAAGCTTTCAAACTGGGATGAGCAAAACATGGGTTATATCGTTCGGAGAATAATCATGCTCTCACAGAATAGTAGCGTAAAATAGAAGCATAATGTTGTCAATTTACAAAATTAGAAAGCTAGCGCCTAATAAAATTAATATAGAAAGATTAACGCCAAAGATACTTTGTTACTATCATTTTTGTTCGGATATTCTTTCAAAATTGCGTTCCCACTCCAAGCCATTAGCCAAAAACCGGAAGTACTTATAACGGGGAAGAGATATTCCATGTTGGTTCATAGGGATGACGCCGTAACTGTCTGTGGGCCAGAGCTAGTACCTACTAGATATTATTTATTCAGTGCTAGAGTGCTCAATAAGCGTCAACTGGACTGTGTGATCTTTTATCACTTCTCCTCACATAAAAAACCCGTTCTCAGCTGTGAAGGATATAGAAGAGTTATAAAACCGCACGAAATATAATAAATATATACTTATAGTATCTGCGGTTAATAAGGCCTAACTAAGGAAAATTCGAAACAAAAATGTGAGTAATATCCAATTTGGCCTGCAGATTTTAATAATAATCATTGACTTAGTACATTTTCTATAAAATATAAATGAAAAATTGTAACATTTGCACATTAATTACATAGTAGTAGAATAAATGAATTCAAAAGCAAAACTATCATATCATCTAAGTGTAATTAACAAGTCAACAAGTAAAAGTTGACCAACTTAAAAATGCACTTGGATTAGTAAACATTTCGTTACAACTCCAAAAAAAAAATGACCCAAAACTAGCTCCATTATAACTTTGTTATGTTTTTGTGAACTGTTAGAAATAATTTAATGGAGGAAACGACTTATATGCAAAGGCCTCATTCATTATTTTCATACAACCATATAGCCACAAACGGTATAATTCGTGGTACTATTGGTTTACGCGAGCAACCTTCAGGATAATTTAGGACAGTTATGGTTTACGGAAAGCTACGTTACGGGCATATATACCTTAAAGTTGCGATGCTGGCAACATATAGATAGATAGTCCAACTATAACCATCTCTGTACGGTCTTTGCATGTGAATGATTTGTATGTGGATTGTATTATTTTTAAAATCGAAAAGTTTTTTAATACCACTCCCTACAAGACTGATTGAAAATAAGTCCTTCGGATACCGTCGTCCTATTTAGTCCCATCATTTAGTCCCATCATTTAGTCCCATTTTTAGGCGTTACAGCGTTCAAACCGCAAACTCACTTAATACGCTCTATATCAAGGAAAACCACGTATTGTGACGGGCAGCTACGGAACCATACCGTCAGTTTTTATTATTATTGGTGCAGTGCGGTCGTATCTTATGATACAATATGCAACTCTGGTGGTCGGACGCGGAGTAGCGCGTCTCTGCAAACTTGTAGAGATATTATCGTGTAATAGGAATCTGTTGTTATCTCCTTGAGTGAGAGCGGTTATTATAAATACGATTTTTGTTACTTAGGAGTTATAAGCTTCCAGGCCTTATTACCCGAAGGTTCCTTAATAGGAAGCTTTCAAAGGAACCTTATTTATCGCTACTGGTAGCAAAAAGGCTGGTTCATTTCCCGTCAAAATGCTAAATATAGTCATTCAGAGACAAAAAGTGGCCTTCCTTTTCCATGCCATGGAAAGTGAATTAGACTACTTTTAGTTTTATTTTATTGTAATAAATGTAATATATTATTACGCAAAGGTCAAGGCAGTCAAGGACAAAACTACGTGACTGACGCCAAAGCTATCACCGTGGGTAACGCTGCAGCTAGCAGTAACACTGGCAAAACACAACCAGGTAATTATATTGAACATCACATAATTTATATTTGTCTCCATTAAGCTTTAAAACTGGGATGAACAAAACATGAGTTATATCGTTTGGGGAATAATCATGCTCTCACAGAATAGTAGCGTAAAATAGCAGCATAATGTTGTCAATTAACAAAATTAGAAAGCTAGCGCCTAATAAAATGAATATAGAAAAATTAATGCCAAAGATACTTTGTTACTATCATTTTTGTTTAATTATTCTTTCAATATTGCGTTCCCACTCCAAGCCATTAGCCCAAGCCGGATCTAACAAAAACCGGAAGTACTTATAACGGGGAAGAGACATTCCATGTTGGTTCATAGGGATGACGCCGTAACTGTCTGTGGGCCAGAGCTAGTACCTACTAGATATTATTTATTCTTTGCTAGAGTGCTCAATAAGCGTCAACTGGACTGTGTGATCTTTTATCACCCCTCCTCACATAAAAAACCCATTCTCGGCTCTGAAGGATATAGAAGAGTTATAAAACCGCACGAAATATAATAAATATATACTCGTATAGTATCTGCGGGTAATAAGGCCTAACTAAGGAAAATTCGAAACAAAAATGTGAGTAATATCCAATTTGGCCTGCAGATTTTAATAATAATCATTGACTTAGTACATATACTATAAAATATAAATGAAAAATATTAACATTTGCACATTAATTACATAGTAGTAGAATAAATGAATTCAAAAGCAAAACTATCATATCATCTTAGTGTAATTAACAAGTCAACAAGTAAAAGTTGACCAACTTAAAAATGCACTTGGATTAGTAAACATTTCGTTACAACTCCACAAAAAATGGCCCAAAACTAGCTCCATTATAACTTTGTTATGTTTTTGTGAACTGTTAGAAATAATTTAACGGAGGAAACGACATATGCATAGGCCTCATTCATTATATTCATACAACCATATAGCCACAAACAGTATAATTCCTGTTACTATTGGTTCACGCGAGCAACCTTCAGGATAATTTAGGACAGTTATGGTTTACGGAAAGCTACGTTACGGGCATATATACCTTAAAGTTGCGATGCTGGCAACATATAGATAGATAGTCCAACTATAACCATCTCTGTACGGTCTTGGCATGTAAATGATTTGATGTAGATTGTATTACTTTTAAAATCGAAAAGTTTTTTAATACCACTCCCTACAAGACTGATTGAAAATAAGTCCTTCGGATACCGTCGTCCTATTTAGTCCCAATTTAGTCCATTTTTAGTCGTTATAGCGTTCAAACCGCAAACTCACTTAATACGCTCTATATCAAGGAAAACCACGTATTGTGACGGGCAGCTACGGAACAATACCGCCAGTTTTTTTTATTGGTGCAGTGCGGTCGTATCTTATGATAGATAATGAAACTCTGGTGGTCGGACACGGAGTACCGCGTCTCAGCAAATTTGTAGAGATATTATCGTGTAGGAATCTGTTGTTATCTCCTTGAGTGAGAGCGGTTACTATAAATACGATTTTTGTTACTTAGGCCTTATTAGCCGACAGGCCTTATTACCCGAAGGTTTCTTAATAGGAAACTTTTAAAGGAACCTTATTTATCACTACTGGTAGCAAAAAGGCTGGTTCATTTCCCGTCAAAATGCTAAATATAGTCATTCAGAGACAAAAAAGTGGCCTTCCTTTTCCATGCCGTGGGAAGGGAATTAGACTACTTTTAGTTTTATTTTATTGTAATAAATGTAATATATTATTACTCAAAGGTCAAGGCAGTCAAGGACAAAACTACGTGACTGACGCCAAAGCTAACACCGTGAGTATCGCTGAAGCTAGCGGTACCACTGGCAAAACACAACCAGGTAATTGTATTTAACATCACATAATTTATATTTGTCTCCATTAAGCTTTCAAACTGGGATGAGCAAATCATGGGTTATATCGTTCGGGGAATAATCATGCTCTCACAGAATAGTAGCGTGAAATAGCAGCATAATGTTGTCAATTTACAAAATTAGAAAGCTAGCGCCTAATAAAGTGAATATAGATAAATTAACGCCAAAGATACTTTGTTACTATCATTTTTGTTCGGATATTCTTTCAATATTGCGTTCCCACTCCAAACCATTAGCACCATTATGTTCCGGATCGTAAGTGACAAAAACCGGAAGTTCTTATAACGGGAAAGAGATATTCCATGTTGGTTCATAGGGATGAAGCCGTAACTGTCTGTGGGCCAGAGCTAGTACCTACTAGATATTATTTATTCAGTGCTAGAGTGCTCAATAAGCGTCAACTGGACTGTGTGATATTTTATCACCTCTCCTCTAATAAAAAACCCGTTCTCGGCTGTGAAGGATATAGAAGAGTTATAAAACCGCACGAAATATAATAAATATATATAGTATCTGCGGGTAATAAGGCCTAACTAAGGAAAATTCGAAACAAAAAAGTGAGTAATATCCAATTTGGCCAGCAGATTTTAATAATAATCATTGACTTAGTACATTTTCTATAAAATATAAATGAAAAATTGTAAAATTTGCACATTAATTACATAGCAGTAGAATAAATGAATACAAAACAAAACTATCATATCATCTAAGTGTAATTAACAAGTCAACAAGTAAAAGTTGACCAACTTAAAAATGCACTTGGATTAGTAAAAATTTCGTATCAACTCCATAAAAAATGACCCAAAACTAGCTACATTATAACTTTGTCATGTTTTTGTGAACTGTAAGAAATAAATATTTAATGGAGGAAACGACTTATATGAATAGGCCTCATTCATTATATTCATACAACCATAAAGCCTCAGACAGTATAATTCGTGGTACTATTGGTTTACGAGAGCAACCTTCAGGATAATTTAGGACAGTTATGGTTTACGGAAAGCTACGTTACCGGTCATATATACCTTAAAGTTGCGATGCTGGCAACATATAGATAGATAGTCCAACTATAACCATCTCTGTACGGACTTGGCATGTGAATGATTTGATGTAGATTGTATTACTTTTAAAATCGAAAAGTTTTTTAATACCACTCCCTATAAGACTGATTGAAAATAAGTCCTTCGGATACCGTCGTCCTATTTAGTCCCATCATTTAGTCCCATTTTTAGTCGTTACAGCGTTCAAACCGCAAACTCACTTAATACGCTCTATATCAAGGAAAACCACGTATTGTGACGGGCAGCTACGGAACAATACCGCCAGATTTTTTTTATTAATGGTGCAGTGCGGTCGTATCTTATGATAGAATATGAAACTCTGGTGGTCGGACACGGAGTAACGCGTCTCTGCAAATTTGTAGAGATATTATCGTGTAGGAATCTGTTGTTATCTCCTTGAGTGAGAGCGGTTATTATAAATACGATTTTTGTTACTTAGGCCTTATTAGCCGACAGGCCTTATTACCCGAAGGTTTCTTAATAGGAAGCTTTTAAAGGAACCTTATTTATCACTACTGGTAGCAAAAAGGCTGGTTCATTTCCCGTCAAAATGCTAAATATAGTCATTCAGAGACAAAAAGTGGCCTTCCTTTTCCATGCCGTGGGAAGTAAATTAGACTACTTTTAGTTTTATTTTATTGTAATAAATGTAATATATTATTACGCAAAGGTCAAGGCAGTCAAGGACAAAACTACGTGACTGACGCCAAAGCTAACACCGTGAGTATCGCTGAAGCTAGCGGTACCACTGGCAAAACACAACCAGGTAATTATATTTAACATCACATAATTTATATTTGTCTCCATTAAGCTTTCAAACTGGGATGAACAAAACATGGGTTATATCGTTCGGGGAATAATCATGCTCTCACAGAATAGTAGCGTGAAATAGCAGCATAATGTTGTCAATTTACAAAATTAGAAAGCTAGCGCGTAATAAAATGAATATAGAAAAATTAACGCCAAAGATACTTTGTTACTATCATTTTTGTTCGGATATTCTTTCAATATTGCGTTCCCACTCCCAGCCATTAGCAAAAACCGGAAGTACTTATAACGGGGAAGAGACATTCCATGTTTGTTCATAGGGATGACGCCGTAACTGTCTGTGGGCCAGAGCTAGTACCTACTAGATATTATTTATTCTGTGCTAGAGTGCTCAATAAGCGTCAACTGGACTGTGTGATCTTTTATCACCCCTCCTCACATTAAAAACCCGTTCTCGGCTCTGAAGGATATGGTAGAGTTATAAAACCGCACGAAATATAATAAATATATATAGTATCTGCGGGTAATAAGGCCTAACAAAGGAAAATTCGAAACAAAAATGTGAGTAATATCCAATTTGGCCTGCAGATTTTAATAATAATCATTGACTTAGTACATTTACTATAAAATATAAATGAAAAATTGTAACATTTGCACATTAATTACATGGTAGTAGAATAAATGAATTCAAAAGCAAAACTATCATATCATCTAAGTGTAATTAACAAGTCAACAAGTAAAAGTTGACCAACTTAAAAATGCACTTGGATTAGTAAACATTTCGTTACAACTCCACAAAAAAATGGCCCAAAACTAGCTCCATTATAACTTTGTTATGTTTTTGTGAACTGTTAGAAATAATTTAATGGAGGAAACGACTTATATTCATAGGCCTCATTCATTATATTCATACAACCATATAGCCACAAACGGTACAATTCGTGGTACTATTGGTTTACGCGAGCAACCTTCAGGATAATTTAGGACAGTTATGGTTTACGGAAAGCTACGTTACGGGCATATATACCTTAAAGTTGCGATGCTGGCAACATATAGATAGATAGTCCAACTATAACCATCTCTGTACGGAATTGGCATGTGAATGATTTTATGTAGATTGTATTATTTTTAAAATCGAAAAGTTTTTTAATACCACTCCCTATAAGACTGATTGAAAATAAGTCCTTCGGATACCATCGTCCTATTTAGTCCCATTTTTAGTCGTTACAGCGGTCAAACTGCAAACTCACTTAATACTCTCAATATCAAGGAAAGACACGTATTGTGACGGGCAGCTTCGGAACCATACCGCCAGTTTTTTTTATGCATGGTGCAGTGCGGTCGTATCTTATGATAGAATATGAAACTCTGGTGGTCGGACACGGAGTACCGCGTCTCTGCAAATTTGTAGAGATATTATCGTGCAGTAGGAATCTGTTGTTATCTCCTTGAGCGAAGGCGGTTATTATAGATACGATTTTGGTTACTTAGGCCTTATTAGCCGCCAGGTCTTATTACGCGAAGGTTCCTTAATAGGAAGCTTTTAAAGGAACCTTATTTATCGCTACTGGTAGCAAAAAGGCTGGTTCATTTTCCGTCAAAATGCTAAATATAGTCATTCAGAGACAAAAAGTGGCCTTTATTATCCATGTCGTGGGAAATAAATTAAACTACTTTTAGTTTTATTTTATTGTAATAAATGTAATATATTATTACGCAAAGGTCAAAGCAGTCAAGGGCAAACTTACGTGACTGACGCCAAAGCTATCACCGTGGGTAACGCTGAAGCTACCAGTAACACTGGCATAACACAACCAGGTAATTATATTGAACATCACATAATTTATATTTGTGTCCATTAAGCTTTCAAACTGGGATGAACAAAACATGGGTGATATCGTTTGGGGAATAATCATGCTCTCACAGAATAGTAGCGTAAAATAGCAGCATAATGTTGTCAATTTACAAAATTGAAAGCTAGCGCCTAATAAAATGAATATAGATAAATTAATGCCAAAGATAGTTTGTTACTATCATTTTTGTTTAATTATTCTTTCAATATTGCGTTCCCACTCCAAGCCATTAGCAAAAACCGGAAGTTCTTATAACGGGGAAGAGACATTCCATGTTGGTTCATAGGGATGACGCCGTAACTGTCTGTGGGCCAGAGCTAGTACCTACTAGATATTATTTATTCAGTGCTAGAGTGCTCAATAAGCGTCAACTGGACTGTGTTTTTTTTATCACCCCTCCTCACATAAAAAAACCATTCTCGGCTGTGAAGGATATAGTAGAGTTATAAAACCGCATGAAATATAATAAATATATTTAGTATCTGCGGGTAATAATGCCTAACTAAGGAAATTTCGAAACAAAAATGTGAGTAATATCCAATTTGGCCTGCAGATTTTAATAATAATCATTGACTTAGTATATTTTCTATGAAATATAAATGAAAAATTGTAACATTTGCACATTAATTACATAGTAGTAGAATAAATGAATTCAAAAGCAAATCTATCATATCATCTAAGTGTAATTAACAAGTCAACAAGTAAAAGTTGACCAAATTGAAAATGCTTTTGGATTAGTAAACATTTCGTTACAATTTCATAGAAAATAACCCAAAACGAGCTCCATTATAACTTTGTTATATTTTTGTGAACTGTTAGAAATGATTTAATGGAGGAAACGACTTATATGCAAAGGCCTCATTCAAATTATATTCATACAACCATATAGCCACAAACGGTATAATTCGTGGTACTATTGGTTCACGCGAGCAACCTTCAGGATAATTTAGGACAGTTATGGTTTATGGAAAGCTACGTTACCGGTCATATATATCTTAAAGTTGCGATGCTGGCAACATATAGATAGATAGTCCAACTATAACCATCTCTGTACGGACTTGGTATGTGAATGATTTGATGTAGATTGTATTATTTTTAAAATCGAAAAGTTTTTTAATACCACTCCCTACAAGACTGATTGAAAATAAGTCCTTCGGATACCATCGTCCTATTTATTCCCATTTTTAGTCGTTATAGCGGCCAAACCGCAAACTCACTTTATACGCTTAATATCAAGGAAAACCACGTATTGTGACGGGCAGCTACGGAACAATAACGCCAATTTTTTTATTAATGGTGCAGTGCGGTCGTATCTTATGATAGAATATGAAACTCTGGTGGTCGGACGCGGAGTAGCGCGTCTCTGCAAACTTGTAGAGATATTATCGTCTAATAGGAATCTGTTGTTATCTCCTTGAGTGAGAGCGGTTATTATAAATACGATTTTTGTTACTTAGGAGTTATAAGCTTCCAGGCCCCGAAGGTTCCTTAATAGGAAGCTTTTAAAGGAACCTTATTTATCGCTACTGGTAGCAAAACGGCTGGTTCATTTCGTGGCCTTTCTTTTACATGCCGTGATAAGTGAATTAGACTACTTATAGTTATATTTTATTGTAAAAAATATAATAAATATATTATTATGCTAAGGTCAAGGCAGTCAAGGACAAATCTACGTGACTGACGCCAAAGCTATCACCGTGGGTAACGCTGAAGCTAGCAGTAACACTGGCAAAACACAACCAGGTAATTATATTGAACATCACATAATTTATATTTGTGTTCATTAAGCTTTCAAACTGGGATGAACAAAACATGGGTTATATCGTTCGGGGAATAATCATGCTCTCACAGAATAGTAGCGTGAAATAGCAGCATAATGTTGTCAATTTACAAAATTAGAAAGCTAGCGTCTAATAAAGTGAATATAGATAAATTAACGCCAAAGATACTTTGTTACTATCATTTTTATTCGGATATTCTTTCAATATTGCGTTCCCACTCCAAGCCATTAGCACCATTATGTTCCGGATCGTAAGTGACAAAAACCGGAAGTTCTTATAACGGGAAAGAGATATTCCATGTTGGTTCATAGGGATGACGCCGTAACTGTCTGTGGGCCAGAGCTACTACCTACTAGATATTATTTATTCAGTGCTAGAGTGCTCAATAAGCGTCAACTGGACTGTGTGATCTTTTATCATCCCTCCTCACATTAAAAAAACCGTTCTCGTCTCTGAAGGATATGGTAGAGTTATAAAACCGCACGAAATATAATAAATATATATAGTATCTGCGGGTAATAATGCCTAACTAAGGAAATTTCGAAACAAAAATGTGAGTAATATCCAATTTGACCTGCAGATTTTAATAATAATCATTGACTTAGTACATTTTCTATGAAATATAAATGAAAAATTGTAACATTTGCACATTAATTACATAGTAGTAGAATAAATGAATTCAAAAGCAAAAGTATCATATCATCTAAGTGTAATTAAGTCAACAAGTAAAAGTTGACCAAATTGAAAATGCTTTTGGATTAGTAAACATTTCGTTACAATTTCATAGAAAATAACCCAAAACGAGCTCCATTATAACTTTGTTATATTTTTGTGAACTGTTAGAAATGATTTAATGGAGGAAACGACTTATATGCAAAGGCCTCATTCAAATTATATTCATACAACCATATAGCCACAAACGGTATAATTCGTGGTACTATTGGTTCACGCGAGCAACCTTCAGGATAATTTAGGACAGTTATGGTTTACGGAAAGCTACGTTACCGGTCATATATATCTTAAAGTTGCGATGCTGGCAACATATAGATAGATAGTCCAACTATAACCATCTCTGTACGGACTTGGTATGTGAATGATTTGATGTAGATTGTATTATTTTTAAAATCGAAAATTTTTTTAATACCACTCCCTACAAGACTGATTGAAAATAAGTCCTTCGGATACCATCGTCCTATTTATTCCCATTTTTAGTCGTTATAGCGGCCAAACCGCAAACTCACTTTATACGCTTAATATCAAGGAAAACCACGTATTGTGACGGGCAGCTACGGAACAATAACGCCAATTTTTTTATTAATGGTGCAGTGCGGTCGTATCTTATGATAGAATATGAAACTCTGGTGGTCGGACACGGAGTACCGCGTCTCTGCAAATTTGTAGAGACATTATCGTGTAATAGGAATCTGTTGTTATCTCCTTGAGTGAGAGCGGTTATTATAAATACGATTTTTGTTACTTAGGCCTCATTAGCCGACATGCCTTATTACCCGATGGTTTCTTAATAGGAAACTTTTAAAGGAACCTTATTTATCACTACTGGTAGCAAAAAGGCTGGTTCATTTCCCGTCAAAATGCTAAATATAGTCATTCAGAGACAAAAAGTGGCCTTCCTTTTCCATGCCGTGGGAAGTGAATTAAACTACTTTTAGTTTTATTTTATTGTAATAAATGTAATATATAATTACTCAAAGGTCAAGGCAGTCAAGGACAAAACTACGTGACTGACGCCAAAGCTAACACCGTGAGTATCGCTGAAGCTAGCGGTACCACTGGCAAAACACAACCAGGTAATTATATTTAACATCACATAATTTATATTTGTCTCCATTAAGCTTTCAAACTGGGATGAGCAAAACATGGGTTATATCGTTCGGGGAATAATCATGCTCTCACAGAATAGTAGCGTGAAATAGCAGCATAATGTTGTCAATTTACAAAATTAGAAAGCTAGCGCCTAATAAAGTGTATATAGATAAATTAACGCCAAAGATACCTTGTTACTATCATTTTTGTTCGGATATTCTTTCAATATTGCGTTCCCACTTCAAGCCATTAGCACCATTATGTTCCGGATCGTAAGTGACAAAAACCGGAAGTTCTTATAACGGGAAAGAGATATTCCATGTTGGTTCATAGGGATGACGCCGTAACTGTCTGTGGGCCAGAGCTAGTACCTACTAGATATTATTTATTCAGTGCTAGGGTGCTCAATAAGCGTCAACTGGACTGTGTGATCTTTTATCACCTCTCCTCTAATAAAAAACCCGTTCTCGGCTGTGAAGGATATAGAAGAGTTATAAAACCGCACGAAATATAATAAATATATATAGTATCTGCGGGTAATAAGGCCTAACTAAGGAAAATTCGAAACAAAAATGTGAGTAATATCCAATTTGGCCTGCAGATTTTAATAATAATCATTGACTTAGTACATTTTCTATAAAATATAAATGAAAAATTGTAACATTTGCACATTAATTACATAGTAGTAGAATAAATGTTTTCAAAAGCAAAAGTCATATCATCTAAGTGTAATTAACAAGTCAACAAGTAAAAGTTGACCAACTTAAAAATGCACTTGGATTAGTAAACATTTCGTTACAACTCCACAAAAAATGACCCAAAACTAGCTCCATTATAACTTTGTTATGTTTTTGTGAACTGTTAGAAATAATTTAATGGAGGAAACGACTTATATGCATAGGCCTCATTCATTATATTCATACAACCATATAGCCACAAACGGTATAATTCGTGGTACTATTGGTTTACGCGAGCAACCTTCAGGATAATTTAGGACAGTTATGGTTTACGGAAAGATACGTTACCGATCATATTTATCTTAAAGTTGCGATGCTGGCAACATATAGATAGATAGTCCAACTATAACCATCTCTGTACGGACTTGGCATGTGAATGATTTGATGTAGATTGTATTATTTTTAAAATCGAAAAGTTTTTTTAATACCACTCCCTATAAGACTGATTGAAAATAAGTCCTTCGGATACCATCGTCCTATTTAGTCCCATTTTTAGTCGTTACAGCGTTCAAACCGCAAACTCACTTAATACTCTCTATTTCAAGGAAAACCACGTATTGTGACGGGCAGCTACGGAACCATACCGCTAGTTTTTATTATTATTGGTGCAGTGCGGTCGTATCTTATGATACAATATGAAACTCTGAGTGGCCTTTCTTTTCCACGCCGTGGGAAGTGAATTAGATTATTTATAGTTTTATTTTATAGTAATAAATGTAATATATTATTACGCAAAGGTCAAGGCGGTCAAGGGCAAAACTACGTGACTGACGCCAAAGCTAACACCGTTGGTATCGCTGAAGCTAGCAGTAACACTGGCAAAACACAACCAGGTAATTATATTTAACATCAAATACTAATATATATTTATGTCCATTTAGCTTTCAAACTGGGATGAACAAAACATGGGTGATATCATTCGGGGAATAATCATGCTCTCACAGAATAGTAGCGTTAAATAGCAGCATAATGTTGTCAATTTACAAAATAAGTAAGCTAGCGCCTAATGAAATGAATGTAGCAAAATTAATGTCAAAGGTACTTTGTTGCTATTATTTTTGTATAGATGCTCTTTCAAAATAGCGTTCCCACTCCCAGCCATTAGCACCATTGTGTTGCGGATCGTAAGTGACAAGAACCGGAAATACTTTAAACGGGGAAGAGACATTCCATGTTGGTTCATAGGGATGACAACGTAACTGTCTGTGGGCCAGAGCTAGTACCTACTAAAATCATTTATTCTGTGCCAGAGCGCTCACTAAGCATCCACTTGACTGTGTGCTCTTTTATCACCCCTCCACTGGTCAAATAGTAGAACGTGCTCGACAAATAGTAGAATTAATGAACCGCATGAAATATAATAAATATTTATAGAACCTGCAGGTAATAAGACCTAGCTAAGTAAAATTCGAAATAAAAATGTGGGTAATATACAACTTGGCCTGTAGATTTTAAAAAAAAATCATTGATTCTGTACAGTTTCTATAAAGTATGAATGAAAAATTGTAACATTTGCCATAAAGGAAAACAGAAATAAACATTATCAAAAACCTTGCTAGTATGTCTTGTTTAAAAAAAATAAAAAAATAATAATTTGGCGACGATACGTTAGTCATATCTACAAGATCAACTAAGATTTTATTCACAAAGATAAAGATTACGATTTTAGATAGCTAAATTTAATATTACAAAACATATCAAAGATTTATTTGGACTGCTTTTTAGGTTTCCGTAGTTTAATAACAAGGAACCCATATAGGATATCCTTACTTTCGCAATGTCCGTCCGTCCGTCAGATATATATATATATATATATATATATATATATATATATATATATATATATATATATATATATCTTAATATATTTAAATTACGTGTCACGTTGTTTGTCCGCGATGGATTCCTAAACTACTAAACCGATTTTAATCAAATTTTCTTAGGATTATCTTAGGATTTTTTTTGCCCATGAGCATCTTTGTACATACTTGGCATGTAAATGATTTGATGTAGATTGTATTATTTTAAAATCGAAAAGTTTTTTAATCTTTTTTAATACCTCTCCCTATAATTGATTGAAAATAAGTCCTTCGGATACCACCGTCCTACTTAGGCACATTTTTCGTCGTTATAGCGGTCAAACCCACAAGAAAGACCACGTATTGTGACGGGAAACTACGAAACCCTAACCTAGGTTTTTTATTATTGGTGCAATGTGTTATTATCTCATGATAGATAATGAAGCTTTGGTGGCCGGACGCGGGTAAGCGTTCCTCTGCAAACTTGTAGAGACATAAAAAAAATAAACGCCTGTCACCCAGAGGGGTAGATAGAGACTACAGACTTCCATTTGGCATGATCCTGACACACCTCTCTCGCCTCCTTCACATCCATATACCTACGCATACATGCTCGTCTTTTAAGGGTGCTCCTAATTTGGCCCGTTTTCAATAAATCGCCAATTTGGTCGATAAATTTTCGTCTAGGACGTCCCTTTCCGACTCCGCCATTCACTTCATGGTAGAGACATTATTGTATAATAGGAATTTGTTATTATCTCCTCGAGCGAAAGCGGTTTTTATAAATACGATTTTTGTAACTTAGGCCTCATTAGCCGAGGCCTTATTACCTGCAGGTATATATAAAGATAGGAGGCTTTTAAAGGAACCTTATTTATCGCTACTGATAACAAAAAGGCTGCTTCATTTCTCGTTCAATAGTTATATATAGTCATTCAGAAAGAAAAAAGCGGCCTACCTTTTCCATGCAGTTTTACTTTATTGTAATTAATATAATATATCATTACATAAAGGTCAAGATCACACTGGGTCTAGCGCCGGGTCTAGCTCCACGTCTAGCACCGGGTCTGGCTCCACGTCTAGCACCGGGACTGGCTCCACGACTAGCGCCGGGACTGGCTCCACGTCTAGCACCGGGCCTGGCTCCACGTCTAGCACTGGGCCTGGCTCCACGTCTAGCGCCGGGTCTAGCTCCACGTCTAACACCGGGCCTGGCTCCACGTCTAGCCCCGGGTCTGGCTCCACGTCTTGCACCGGGCCTGGCTCCACGTCTAGCACCGGACCTGGCTCCACGTCTAGCACCGGGCCTGGCTCCACGTCTAGCACCGGACCTGGCTCCACGTCTAGCACCGGGCCTGGCTCCACGTCTAGCACCGGGGCTGGCTCCACGTCTAGCACCGGGCCTGGCTCCACGTCTAGCACCGGGCCTGGTTCCACGTCTAGCGCCGGGGCTAGCTCCACGTCTGGCGCCGGGTCTAGCTCCACGTCTGGCGCCGGGTCTGGCTCCACTTCTGGCGCCGGGTCTGGCTCCACGTCTGGCACCGGGCCTGGCTCCACGTCTAGCGCCGGGTCTGGCTCCACGTCTGGCGCCGGGTCTAGCTCCACGTCTGGCGCCGGGTCTAACTCCACGTCTGGCGCCGGGTCTGGCTCCACTTCTGGCGCCGGGTCTGGCTCCACGTCTGGCACCGAGCCTGGCTCCACGTCTAGCGCCGGGTCTAGCTCCACGTCTAGCACCGGGCCTGTCTCCACGCCTAGCACCGGGCCTGGCTCACATCTAGCGCCGGGGCTAACTCTACGTCTGGCGCCGGGTCTAGCTCCACGTCTGGCGCCGGGTCTGGCTCCACTTCTGGCGCCGGGTCTGGCTCCACGTCTGGCACCGGGCCTGGCTCCACGTCTAGCACCGGGGCTGGCTCCTCGTCTAGCACCGGGCCTGGCTCCCCGTCTAGCACCGGGCCTGGCTCTACGTCTAGCACCGGGCCTGGCTCCACGTCAGCACCGGGCCTGGCTCCACGTCTAGCACCGGGCCTGGCTCCACGTCTAACGCCGGGTCTAGCTCCACGTCTAGCACTGGGCCTGGCTCCACGTCTAGCACCGGGCCTGGCTCCACGTCTAGCACCGGGCCTGGCTCCACGTCTAGCACCGGGCCTGGCTCCACCTCTAGCACCGGGCCTGGCTCCACGTCTAGCACCGGACCTGGCTCCACGTCTAGCGCCGGGTCTATCTCCACGTCTAGCACCGGGCCTGGCTCCACATCTAGCACCGGGCCTGGCTCCACGTCTGGCGCCGGGTCTAGCTCCACGTCTGGCGCCGGGTCTGGCTCCACTTCTGGCGCCGGGTCTGGCTCCACGTCTGGCACCGGGCCTGGCTCCACGTCTAGCACCGGGCCTGGCTCCACGTCTAGCACCGGGTCTGGCTCCACGTCCTGGCGCCGGGTCCAGCTCCACGTCTGGCGCCGGGTCTAGCTCCACGTCTGGCGCCGGGTCTGGCTCCACTTCTGGCGCCGGGTCTGGCTCCACGTCTGGCACCGGGCCTGGCTCCACGTCTAGCGCCGGGTCTGGCTCCACGTCTAGCACCGGGGCTGGCTCAACGTCTAGCACCGGGCCTGGCTCCACGTCTAGCACCGGGCCTGGTTCCACGTCTAGCGCCGGGGCTAGCTCCACGTCTGGCGCCGGGTCTAGCTCCACGTCTGGCGCCGGGTCTGGCTCCACTTCTGGCGCCGGGTCTGGCTCCACGTCTGGCACCGGGCCTGGCTCCACGTCTAGCGCCGGGTCTGGCTCCACGTCTAGCACTGGGGCTGGCTCCACGTCTAGCACCGGGCCTGGCTCCACGTCTACACCCAGCCTGGCTCCACGTCTAGCGCCGCTGTCCGGCTCCACAGCACCGGCCTGGCTCCACGTCTAGCACCGGACCTGGCTCCACGTCCCCCCTGGCTCGCGTCTAGCACCCCGGGCCTGGCTCCGTCTGCCGGGCCTGGCTCCACGTCTAGCACCGGGCCTGGCTCCACGTCTAGCACCGGGCCTGGCTCCACGTCTAGCGCCGGGCCTGGCTCCACGTCTAGCGCCGGGTCTGGCTCCACGTCTAGCACTGGGCCTGGCTCCACGTCTAGCACCGGGCCTGGCCCACGTCTAGCACCGGGCCTGGCTCTACGTCTAGCGCCGGGGCTAGCTCCACGTCTGGCGCCGGGTCTAGCTCCACGTCTGGCGCCGGGTCTGGCTCCACTTCTGGCGCCGGATCTGGCTCCACGTCTAGCGCCGGGTCTAACTCCACGTCTAGCACCGGGCCTGGCTCCCCGTCTAGCACCGGGCCTGGCTCTACGCCTAGCACCGGACCTGGCTCCACGTCTAACACCGGGCCTGGCTCCACGTCTAGCACCGGGCCTGGCTCCACGTCTAGCGCCGGGTCTAGCTCCACGTCTAGCACTGGGCCTGGCTCCCAGTCTAGCACCGGGCCTGGCTCCACGTCTAGCACCGGGCCTGGCTCCACGTCTAGCGCCGGGTCTAGCTCCACGTCTAGCACTGGGCCTGGCTCCACGTCTTGCACCGGGTCTGGCTCCACGTCTAGCACCGGGCCTGGCTCCAAGTCTAGCACCGGGCCTGGCTCCACGTCTAGCACCGGGCCTGGCTCCACCTCTAGCACCGGGCCTGGCTCCACGTCTAGCACCGGACCTGGCTCCACGTCTAGCGCCGGGTCTATCTCCACGTCTAGCACCGGGCCTGGCTCCACATCTAGCACCGGGCCTGGCTCCACGTCTGGCGCCGGGTCTAGCTCCACGTCTGGCGCCGGGTCTGGCTCCACTTCTGGCGCCGGGTCTGGCTCCACGTCTGGCACCGGGCCTGGCTCCACGTCTAGCACCGGGCCTGGCTCCACGTCTAGCACCGGGTCTGGCTCCACGTCTGGCGCCGGGTTCTAGCTCCACGTCTGGCGCCGGGTCTAGCTCCACGTCTGGCGCCGGGTCTGGCTCCACTTCTGGCGCCGGGTCTGGCTCCACGTCTGGCACCGGGCCTGGCTCCACGTCTAGCGCCGGGTCTGGCTCCACGTCTAGCACCGGGGCTGGCTCAACGTCTAGCACCGGGCCTGGCTCCACGTCTAGCACCGGGCCTGGTTCCACGTCTAGCGCCGGGGGCTAGCTCCACGTCTGGCGCCGGGTCTAGCTCCACGTCTGGCGCCGGGTCTGGCTCCACTTCTGGCGCCGGGTCTGGCTCCACGTCTGGCACCGGGCCTGGCTCCACGTCTAGCGCCGGGTCTGGCTCCACGTCTAGCACCGGGGCTGGCTCCACGTCTAGCACCGGGCCTGGCTCCACGTCTAGCACCCAGCCTGGCTCCACGTCTAGCGCCGGGTCTAACTCCACGTCTAGCACCGGGCCTGGCTCCCCGTCTAGCACCGGGCCTGGCTCCACGTCTAGCACCGGACCTGGCTCCACGTCTAGCACCGGGCCTGGCTCCACGTCTAGCACCGGGCCTGGCTCCACGTCTAGCGCCGGGTCTAGCTCCACGTCTAGCACTGGGCCTGGCTCCACGTCTAGCACCGGGCCTGGCTCCACGTCTAGCACCGGGCCTGGCTCTACGTCTAGCGCCGGGGCTAGCTCCACGTCTGGCGCCGGGTCTGGCTCCACGTCTCGCGCGGGGGCTGGCTCCACTTCTGGCGCCGGGTCTGGCTCCACGTCTAGCGCCGGGTCTAACTCCACGTCTAGCACCGGGCCTGGCTCCCCGTCTAGCACCGGGCCTGGCTCTACGCCTAGCACCGGACCTGGCTCCACGTCTAACACCGGGCCTGGCTCCACGTCTAGCACCGGGCCTGGCTCCACGTCTAGCGCCGGGTCTAGCTCCACGTCTAGCACTGGGCCTGGCTCCACGTCTAGCACCGGGCCTGGCTCCACGTCTAGCACCGGGCCTGGCTCCAAGTCTAGCACCGGGCCTGGCTCCACGTCTAGCACCGGGCCTGGCTCCACGTCTAACACCGGGCCTGGCTCCACGTCTAGCGCCGGGTCTAGCTCCACGTCTAGCGCCGGGCCTGCCTCCACGTCTAGCACCGGGTCTGACTCCACGTCTGGCGCCGTGTCTAGCTCCACGTCTGGCGCCGGGTCTGACTCCACGTCTGGCACCGGGTTTGACTCCACGTCTGGCGCCGGGTCTAGCACCACGTCTGGAGCCGGGTCTGGCTCCACGTCTGGCGCCGTGTCTGGCTCCACGTCTGGCACCGGGTCTGGCTCCACGTCTAGCGCCGGGTCTCGCTCCACGTCTAGCACCGGGGCTGGCTCCACGTCTAGCACCGGGCCTGGCTACACGTCTAGCACCGGGCCTGGCTCCACGTCTAGCACCCGCCCTGGCTCCACGTCTAGCGCCGGGTCTAGCTCCACGTCTACCGCTGGGCCTGGCTCCACGTCTAGCACCGGGCCTGGCTCCACTTCTAGCACCGGACCTGGCTCCACTTCTAGCACCGGACCTGGCTCCACGTCTAGCACCGGGGCTGGCTCCACGTCTAGCACCGGGCCTGGCTCCACGTCTAGCACCGGGCCTGGTTCCACGTCTAGCGCCGGGGCTAGCTCCACGTCTGGCGCCGGGTCTAGCTCCACGTCTGGCGCCGGGTCTGGCTCCACTTCTGGCGCCGGGTCTGGCTCCACGTCTGGCACCGGGCCTGGCTCCACGTCTAGCGCCGGGTCTGGCTCCACGTCTAGCACCGGGGCTGGCTCCACGTCTAGCACCGGGCCTGGCTCCACGTCTAGCACCGGGCCTGGCTCCACATCTAGCGCCGGGGCTAGCACTACGTCTGGCGCCGGGTCTAGCTCCACGTCTGGCGCCGGGTCTGGCTCCACTTCTGGCGCCGGGTCTGGCTCCACGTCTGGCACCGGGCCTGGCTCCACGTCTAGCACCGGGGCTGGCTCCTCGTCTAGCACCGGGCCTGGCTCCCCGTCTAGCACCGGGCCTGGCTCTACGTCTAGCACCGGGCCTGGCTCCACTTCTAGCACCGGACCTGGCTCCACTTCTAGCACCGGACCTGGCTCCACGTCTAGCACCGGGGCTGGCTCCACGTCTAGCACCGGGCCTGGCTCCACGTCTAGCACCGGGCCTGGTTCCACGTCTAGCGCCGGGGCTAGCTGCACGTCTGGCGCCGGGTCTAGCTCCACGTCTGGCGCCGGGTCTGGCTCCACTTCTGGCGCCGGGTCTGGCTCCACGTCTGGCACCGGGCCTGGCTCCACGTCTAGCGCCGGGTCTGGCTCCACGTCTAGCACCGGGGCTGGCTCCACGTCTAGCACCGGGGCTGGCTCCACGTCTAGCACCGGGCCTGGCTCCACATCTAGCGCCGGGGCTGGCACTACGTCTGGCGCCGGGTCTAGCTCCACGTCTGGCGCCGGGTCTGGCTCCACTTCTGGCGCCGGGTCTGGCTCCACGTCTGGCACCGGGCCTGGCTCCACGTCTAGCACCGGGGCTGGCTCCTCGTCTAGCACCGGGCCTGGCTCCCCGTCTAGCACCGGGCCTGGCTCTACGTCTAGCACCGGGCCTGGCTCCACGTCTAGCACCGGGCCTGGCTCCACGTCTAGCACCGGGCCTGGCTCCACGTCTAACGCCGGGTCTAGCTCCACGTCTAGCACTGGGCCTGGCTCCACGTCTAGCACCGGGCCTGGCTCCACGTCTAGCACCGGGCCTGGCTCCACGTCTAGCACCGGGCCTGGCTCCACCTCTAGCACCGGGCCTGGCTCCACGTCTAGCACCGGACCTGGCTCCACGTCTAGCGCCGGGTCTATCTCCACGTCTAGCACCGGGCCTGGCTCCACGTCTAGCACCGGCCTGGCTCCACGTCTGGCGCCGGGTCTAGCTCCACGTCTGGCGCCGGGTCTGGCTCCACTTCTGGCGCCGGGTCTGGCTCCACGTCTGGCACCGGGCCTGGCTCCACGTCTAGCACCGGGCCTGGCTCCACGTCTAGCACCGGGTCTGGCTCCACGTCTAGCACCGGGTCTGGCTCCACGTCTAACACCGGGCCTGGCTCCACGTCTAGCGCCGGGGCTAGGCTCCACGTCTGGCGCCGGGTCTAGCTCCACGTCTGGCGCCGGGTCTGGATCCACTTCTGGCGCCGGGTCTGGCTCCACGTCTGGCACCGGGCCTGGCTCCACGTCTAGCGCCGGGTCTGGCTCCACGTCTGGCGCCGGGTCTAGCTCCACGTCTGGCGCCGGGTCTAGCTCCACGTCTGGCGCCGGGTCTGGCTCCACTTCTGGCGCCGGGTCTGGCTCCACGTCTGGCACCGGGCCTGGCTCCACGTCTAGCGCCGGGTCTGGCTCCACGTCTAGCACCGGGGCTGGCTCAACGTCCAGCACCGGGCCTGGCTCCACGTCTAGCACCGGGCCTGGTTCCACGTCTAGCGCCGGGGCTAGCTCCACGTCTGGCGCCGGGTCTGGCTCCACTTCTGGCGCCGGGTCTGGCTTCACGTCTGGCACCGGGCCTGGCTCCACGTCTAGCGCCGGGTCTGGCTCCACGTCTAGCACCGGGGCTGGCTCCACGTCTAGCACCGGGCCTGGCTCCACGTCTAGCACCCAGCCTGGCTCCACGTCTAGCGCCGGGTCTAACTCCACGTCTAGCACCGGGCCTGGCTCCCCGTCTAGCACCGGGCCTGGCTCCACGTCTAGCACCGGACCTGGCTCCACGTCTAGCACTGGGCCTGGCTCCACGTCTAGCACCGGGCCTGGCTCCACGTCTAGCGCCGGGTCTAGCTCCACGTCTAGCACTGGGCCTGGCTCCACGTCTAGCACCGGGCCTGGCTCCACGTCTAGCACCGGGCCTGGCTCTACGTCTAGCGCCGGGGCTAGCTCCACGTCTGGCGCCGGGTCTAGCTCCACGTCTGGCGCCGGGTCTGGCTCCACGTCTGGCGCCGGGTCTGGCTCCACGTCTAGCGCCGGGTCTAACTCCACGTCTAGCACCGGGCCTGGCTCCCCGTCTAGCACCGGGCCTGGCTCTACGCCTAGCACCGGACCTGGCTCCACGTCTAACACCGGGCCTGGCTCCACGTCTAGCACCGGGCCTGGCTCCACGTCTAGCGCCGGGTCTAGCTCCACGTCTAGCACTGGGCCTGGCTCCCAGTCTAGCACCGGGCCTGGCTCCACGTCTAGCACCGGGCCTGGCTCCACGTCTAGCGCCGGGTCTAGCTCCACGTCTAGCACTGGGCCTGGCTCCACGTCTAGCACCGGGCCTGGCTCCACGTCTAGCACCGGGCCTGGCTCCACGTCTAGCACCGGGCCTGGCTCCACGTCTAGCACCGGGCCTGGCTCCACGTCTAACACCGGGCCTGGCTCCACGTCTAGCGCCGGGTCTAGCTCCACGTCTAGCGCCGGGCCTGCCTCCACGTCTAGCACCGGGTCTGACTCCACGTCTGGCGCCGTGTCTAGCTCCACGTCTGGCGCCGGGTCTGACTCCACGTCTGGCACCGGGTTTGACTCCACGTCTGGCGCCGGGTCTAGCTCCACGTCTGGCGCCGGGTCTGGCTCCACGTCTGGCGCCGTGTCTGGCTCCACGTCTGGCACCGGGTCTGGCTCCACGTCTAGCGCCGGGTCTCGCTCCACGTCTAGCACCGGGGCTGGCTCCACGTCTAGCACCGGGCCTGGCTACACGTCTAGCACCGGGCCTGGCTCCACGTCTAGTACCCGGCCTGGCTCCACGTCTAGCGCCGGGTCTAGCTCCACGTCTACCGCTGGGCCTGGCTCCACGTCTAGCACCGGGCCTGGCTCCACTTCTAGCACCGGACCTGGCTCCACGTCTAGCACCGGGCCTTGCTCCACGTCTAGCACCGGGCCTGGCTCCACGTCTAGCGCCGGGTCTAGCTCCACGTTCGAGCACCGTGCCTGGCTCCACGTCTAGCACCGTGCCTGGCTCCACGTCTAGCAACGGGCCTGGCTCCACGTCTGGCACTGGGCCTGGCTCCACGTCTAGCACCGGGCCTGGCTCCACGTCTAGCACCGGGCCTGGCTCCACGTCTAGCACTGGGCCTGGCTCCACGTCTAGCGCCGGGTCTAGCTCCACGTCTAGCGCCGGGCTTGCCTCCACGTCTAGCACCGGGCCTGGCTCCACGTTTAGCACCGGACCTGGCTCCACGTCTAGCACCGGGCCTGGCTCCACGTCTAGCACCGGGTCTGGCTCCACGTCTGGCACCGGGCCTGGCTCCACGTCCAGCACCGGGCCCGGCTCCACGTCCAGCACCGGGCCCGGCTCCACGTCTAGCACCGGGTCTGACTCCACGTCTGGCGCCGAGTCTAGCTCCACGTCTGGCGCCGGGTCTGGCTCCACGTCTGGCGCCGGGTCTAGCTCCACGTCTGGAACCGGGTCTGGCTCCACGTCTAACGCCGGGTCTAGCTCCACATCTAACGCTGTGGGTGCGTTCGACGTCGGGGCCAATGCTGGATATGGCCCAAGTAGTCATTATGGATATTGCAGCAAATGTGGAAAACGAACAAAAGGCGGTAAAGGCGGTCAAGCGGCCAGCGGTGGGTATAACTCCGGGCCTACCACTGGAACTGGCGTTGGGACTGATGTTAGTCAAGGCAGTCAGATTCCAAGAATTTCGGTAGAACCTTTTCCAGGAGTCAAAGGGAAGTTTTGCATTTGTGGATATGGTCCACAATTCTTGCGTAATATTTCAAATAATATCATACAACTATTTCAACACTAATTATAATTAAGAAAACTACGTCTCGCTTTTATATTTAGCTTGATATGTTGTATATGTCTATTTATAAGTTGCATGAGAAAAATAGACCACAGGTTGAAAAAAAAACTATATAATAAAATAAATTGCTATAATGAACTTGCTTCGTTTTAATTTATTCAAACATATGACATAACATATAAAAACACAAATTAAATATATTTTATATGTAAGTGGTAGAACCACGCTGCTGCTTTATTATGACTGTAGCATGAGACACGGGTGCAAACTGGTATTGATACTTATTATGATTGTAGCATGAGACACGGGTGCAAACTGGTATTGATACTTATTATGATTGTAGCATGAGACACGGGTGCAAACTGGTATTGATACTTATTATGATTGTAGCATGAGACACGGGTGCAAACTGGTATTGATACTTATTATGATTGTAGCATGAGACACGGATGCAAACTGGTATTGATACTTATTATGATTGTAGCATGAGACACGGGTGCAAACTGGTATTGATACTTATTATGATTGTAGCATGAGACACGGGTGCAAACTGGTATTGATACTTATTATGATTGTAGCATGAGACACGGGTGCAAACTGATATTGATACTTATTATGATTGTAGCATGAGACACGGATGCAAACTGGTATTGATACTTATTATGATTGTAGCATGAGACACGGGTGCAAACTGGTATTGATAATTATTATGATTGTAGCATGAGACACGGGTGCAAACTGGTATTGATACTTATTATGATTGTAGCATGAGACACGGGTGCAAACTGGTATTGATACTTATTATGATTGTAGCATGAGACACGGATGCAAACTGGTATTGATACTTATTATGATTGTAGCATGAGACACGGGTGCAAACTGGTATTGATACTTATTATGATTGTAGCATGAGACACGGGTGCAAACTGGTATTGATACTTATTATGATTGTAGCATGAGACACGGGTGCAAACTGGTATTGATACTTATTATGATTGTAGCATGAGACACGGGTGCAAACTGGTATTGATACTTATTATGATTGTAGCATGAGACACGGGTGCAAACTGGTATTGATACTTATTATGATTGTAGCATGAGACACGGATGCAAACTGGTATTGATACTTATTATGATTGTAGCATGAGACACGGGTGCAAACTGGTATTGATACTTATTATGATTGTAGCATGAGACACGGGTGCAAACTGGTATTGATACTTATTATGATTGTAGCATGAGACACGGGTGCAAACTGGTATTGATACTTATTATGATTGTAGCATGAGACACGGATGCAAACTGGTATTGATACTTATTATGATTGTAGCATGAGACACGGGTGCAAACTGGTATTGATACTTATTATGATTGTAGCATGAGACACGGGTGCAAACTGGTATTGATACTTATTATGATTGTAGCATGAGACACGGGTGCAAACTGGTATTGATACTTATTATGATTGTCAGCATGAGACACGGATGCAAACTGGTATTGATACTTATTATGATTGTAGCATGAGACACGGGTGCAAACTGGTATTGATACTTATTATGATTGTAGCATGAGGCACGGGTGCAAACTGGTATTGATACTTATTATGATTGTAGCATGAGACACGGGTGCAAACTGGTATTGATACTTATTATGATTGTAGCATGAGACACGGATGCAAACTGGTATTGATACTTATTATGATTGTAGCATGAGACACGGGTGCAAACTGGTATTGATACTTATTATGAATGTAGCATGAGACACGCGTGCAAACTAGTATTGATACAGGCTGGATTGATTTTGAAATTATTTGTATTAAATTTTTTGAGTGGGTTCGCTGGTTGATGGTTTAGATTCACAAGTGGACCCGGTAGGTGGCGCTGTTGCTGAAATCCAGAAATTACCCATGCGACGGCGGAGCTGATCGTAGATATATACAGCTTTCCTTGAAACGTTGAAAAATCTTACACTCTTTTCGTGCCAAAATTTTTTAGAAACTCAGTTTCTCTTCACGTATTACTATATAGATTAATTCGCAAAAACTAAAAAGAGAGCATCAAAAATAGATGTTAAAAAGCTTCGGTTTAAATTATTCGTTTCTTTTACATCAATATGGAAGGGGAAAATCATAGCGTTATTTCCCAATACCCAATAGTCAAAATTATTTGCCGGGGAAGCTCCGCACCACGCTAACTTTCTCAGACTCCAAACTTAACACAAAAATAATCATCATCGACGTCGTTATGCTAACGAAAAACGTATTCATAGTGCAGTGTTTTCACGGCCGGATCTATATATAGGCTTTTTGGGCTGCAGCCCAGGGCCTCGTGGATATAAAGGGCCCCCAGCCTCCAGTGAGGACTAGCTGTCATAACTTTAAAAATAATTATGATAATATTATTAAAATTTCATGAGTTTTGGTAGAAATGAGGAGGAGAGAGTTAATTTTTCAAAAAGAGGCACGAAATTTAAAAAGCGGCAAACGCCATATATTTATTTGGAAGATTTTTTTAAAGAGGTTATTTGTAAAGGCAACAAGTGAATTATGTCATCAAGAGTTCGTGAGGAACGACATCGACATCAATCGAATGAAAAATTAAAGATATACGAGGAAAAAGCTTAAAACAAAAACTAAATACTAGAGTGGTACCGACATAAATAAAAGATATGCAGAATTTTCACTCGAAGTCAAAAGAGTCAAACGTTAAACGTTGTGTTGAATAAGCTGTTTTGTATTTTAATAGAAAATGTCAAGTCTATGAGGCATATAGTAAGAAATTCAATTAGTGAATTCGGTTAAAAACTTACTAAAGACTAAGCTAGATTCTTACACTCTTGCAGTGAAATGTTTACGCTAATCAATGGAAAAAAAACTTGATGTTTTCCCAAATTACTTTACTGTCATCTTCTAGAATTTTTAACGTTGTCAAACACTAGCTGTGAATCAGTGCGCTGTTTCTCCAGGATGTCATATAAAGAAAACAAATGTAGGTAAACAATGTTGAACAATCGACTAAATTATTTTTCAATCCTTTCCATAAATTGTGATTTAATAAAACATTGACAATGTGATAAACAAATAAAGGAATTAGCAGCGCAAAAATCTAGAACGATCTTCATAATTTATTTAACATAACTACACATATTGCCGTTTAGGGGCGGTTAAGAATATCCACTACCCCATATCGTCCCATGGGTGTGGTAAGAGGCGACAGAGGGAGACAGGCAGGAGATGGGCAGCAGCATCTTCCTAATAACAATAATATAATAAAAATTGTGGCAATTATGGCAAATATCCCCCCATGAGTAACGACGCAAACAAACGGCCCCCAGTCCCCGGCGGCCACGCTATTCCTGGCTACGGTGGCGACCATGGTAACGGCGGTGCAGGGGTGCTAAGAATCTCCCGTAGGTTCGGTTGCCACCTACGACGACTCGACCTGGCAACATATAACGCACGTACCCTGAGGACTGACGAGAAGATACTGGAGTTGGAAGAAGAGGTAGATAAGTTTGCGCTGGTATATTATTGAATTATCCGAGGTCCGAAGAGAGGGGGGAGGACACAGTCATCCTCGAGTCAGGCAACTTGTTCTATCACCGGAAGAGCGACCATCTGTCCCAAGGAGGTGTCGGATTTATCGTTCACAAGTCTCTCGTCAACAACGTTGTAAATATTGGGAGCGTGTCGACGAGGGTCGCGTACCTGATACTCAGAATCACCAAACGGTATTCGCTGAAGATCATACCGGTTTACGCACCAACCTCGGCACATTCCGATGAGGAGGTGGAGGAAATGTATGAGGATATTTCTAGAGCCATGCATTCCTCCAAAGCCCACTACACGCTGTTGATGGGAGACTACAACGCAAAACTAGGCACAAGAGAAAGCGGTGAGCTGAAGTTAGAGAAATTTGGAGTAGTGCAACGGAACCGTAGAGGCCAGCAGCTGGCAGATTTTATGGAGAAAGAGGGACTCTTTATGATAAACTCTTCGTTCCAGAAAGCGGCCCCAAATGAAGTGGACCTAGTCGAGCCCAGACGATTCGACAAAAAATGAGATTGACTTCATTACGACGACCAGACGCCAATTGTTCAGTGATGTCTCAGTGATCCCGAGGGTGAAAACTAGCAGCGATCACCGAATGGTTAGGGGTACACTGAACTTAAACGTTAAGTTGGAGAGGTCTCGTCTAGTGAAGTCAACGCTCCGTCCCCCTCGTGCACTAATCCAGGGTCCCGAAAACTTTCAGCTCGAATTACAAAACCATTTTCAGTGCCTAGAAGACTGCAATACAGTGGACGATATGAATGACAAGCTCGTGGAAACTGTCCATGCGGTCGGAGCTAAGTTCTGCAAGACCCGCCGCAGAAGAACACAAAAACTCTCCGATCACACTCTTAATCTCACGGCTGTTAGACGGGCGATGAAGCTGCAGTCATCAGCAGATCTATGCAATAGCTTAAAAATCTCCTTGAATTACAGGGAAAATTAGAAGACATATTTTTTAATAATTGAATTTCCTTATAATTGTGCAGAATCTGTAGAAACCATATATATTATAAATATATTTTTCATAGTAATTTACGAGCAGATTTTACCGTTTCTAAGAATTGAACTAACTTGTTAAATATCAAAGAACATAAAAGTTTGCCTTATTGCAACACTATGTTGTTAATGTCAAAATTGACAATGTTTCAATGTCAACATTATTTACATAATTTCTTGCT